TGCAAGGAGAACAGCACAAAAGATATATAGAATTCTTTCACGGAGGAGATCCCAATAATTTTATAAAACAGCAAGCGCGGGATCAACTCAAGAAAGAATTATGCAAAGAGAATTTGATTGATCTAAGGTATGTTTGGTATTACGAGGACCCATATGTAGTTATTCCGGAGTATCTTCAAGAATTGGGTCTCATTGAATAAACTCAAATCTTTAAATGCTCTATGATTGTTATATGTATGCATTATTTTCTTAATAGACCTTTTGACTAGTATTACATGTATGTTATTTTTTTAATAAAAGATCTCAATTACCACAAATTATATGTTAAATATAAACAATTTTACTAGTAATACGTTAAGGTACATTGTGGTGTTTTTTCATATATTATCATCTCGAATTATCAATCTACACAATTAAATACAAATATAGTTCCAGCTTAATAACATAATACAAAATACAGAAAAAAATTAAAATCGTAATTGACAAGGTCGATGTCGATCCCGGTTCTTTGAAATTATTGCTTTAAAGCTTGGTGTTGCAAGAGTGTTGCGCCCACTTGGATCTTTTTTTTCAGTAGACACAATACAGTTGGCCCAAAACGCATTGGATATGATGAGAAGCGTATCAAGGCTAGTGAGGAAGGCAGGAACCTGTTCAAGTGACATAGGCACATCAACATGGCCAACTTCCACCATAATATATAAGGCGTCACACAAAAGAGTGGTGAGATAGAATGTGATATGTTGCCCTATTGAGTACAGAACACTTGTTCAGTAATGTGATCCGAAAAAAAAAGTTACTGTTGGAAACTTACCAACAACCTGAAATCCGAGCATACAATTCATGTTATAAAAGTCGATCGCATCTTTGTTAAACACAGCTACCCGGATGAGGTCAGTACAAAGGAGGTAAAGGTTGTTCCCCTCTTCTTGAACTTTTGCTTCACCATGTCCTTTGCTCAAGTTCCAAGACAGTTGATCGATTTCATTGATGATAGCATCAGATTGTTTGGCCCTGCCTATTGGCTTTCTAGCCTTGGATTCTACTGCCTCTTTATTTGACCTGTAGTATTCCTATTGATTAGAAAATGTATATATGAAAATATCATCAAGTTAAAGAGCTTACCATCGTAGGAATATACCGCGATCAGGATCCATAAAAAGTGGGCTGAGAATTGGATCAATGTAAGTGGTGCACAGCTCCACTTCTCCAATGGGGCTTTTTAATGTGGCTCTTGGTACTCTTTCGATGCTAATAATTAGAAATAAAAAGTGTGTTAGCATCGGATATTGTAAAAGACTCTTGTTACAAAATTCGTTAAAATCTTACATGTTTCTTATGGCCTTCAAAATTGCACATTCTCCATAAGAACGACCAACTGCAAGAATTTGCAGTTCCGAAACTGCATTGTCTCTGGTGATCTCCTCCCGTTGTAGGCGCTATAACAAGAATGAGTGCATTAAATTTTTCACATCAAATAAGTGTAAAAGAAGATAGTATACCTTGACAATGCGAACAAGTTTTATCAATATTTCATCGTCAAACTCCATTTGCTTGGTAAGTCTCTGTATGATATCTTTGTGCATCATTTTCAATATTTCATCACCAAAGACTTCCACCATTAACGGACAATGTTGTTTGGGCTTCAACAACAGAATGTGCGATAAGGACCTATACAGTATAAGATAATTAGTTTCCGCAGTGATCAAGCAAATGAAAAAAATTGAAAGCATACAATATCTGTTGTGTGTGGCTTTCTACAAAAAGGCCCTCTCTATTCGCCAATTCCAATGATTTCTCCTTAAAAAAATGCCACTTCTGAGAAACATCAATATCATTTACTAGCCATCTGGACTCTTTTCGAGGTAAAGGTCCCAATTGCAGTCCTACAACATCATTAATTATTGCCGGGCAGTTAGATTCGATGCCAGTATCCGAATCGTCAGATTCATGGCTGTTATCAAATGGAAGAGGGAGGTTGCCTGCAGGTCGGAATGGCGATGGCGAAGTTTCTCTGTCTTGGCATTGCCTCCTGAACATTTCTTCCTCATTATAATTTATACGCTGTTTTTTTCTCAAAGAATAATTGCTTTTATTTTCTTTCTCTTGGTAATTTTCGGAAGTGCGTTTCATAACCTGTCTGCGCCGTTGTCCCACTTCACTTATATAATAGTTATGTTCCAATGTACGCTCCACGGTGAATGCCATCTAAGAGATATCAGTTAATACTTATTTGAAACAAGAGCCGAAAAGAATTGAGAAGCAAATACTTACATCTAAATTTTCGAGAACAGTTTCATATTCCTTGGAATTTCTATCTCTTTCAACGCCTCTCCAGAAGTCCTTTACCTCGTCAGTATTTGCCTCTTGCTTTTTATTTATGAAAAAAAAAGAGTATTAGCAATTGTTCTAACAACTAATATGACTATCAGCTGGTGTTTATGAACACATCGAGCACGATAGATCATCAACAACTCAGCCTAGAACAATTCGTATCAAGCACGATAGGTCGGTAACAAACTGTTCAAATTGATAAGTTGTTGTGATGTGGTAATGACTATTAGGTAAAAAGGCGGTCAACATCAGAGCACGATAGATCATCAACAACTCAGCCTAGAACAGTTCGTATCAAGCACGATAGGTCAATAACGAACTGTTCAGATTGATAAGTTGCCGTTGATGTTGAATAACTTGGGAACATCTGTAACACGATGAGAATATTTCCTCAAGCCCACTTTTACTCTAACAAATAGATTACTTAACTGTAAAGGTATTCAAAGCAGAAAGAGCCATAGGCCGTTGTTCCCTTGCTCCGGATGCTACTATCGTGGCCAAGCTTTTAGTATATGCATTATGTTCTTTCCGTTTATCCTCTGTCCAGTTTTCTTCTTTCTGGCGGAAAGTTAGAAAGTTTAAAAGGTTCCAATCGCGAGAATCTGAGAAATAGTCCGTTTTCATTTTTATCAAACGAAAAAGAAATACAGCTAACACTGTAGTAGTACTGTACGCGTTCTAACTTCTAAGCCACCAAAAAAAATCACAGGGTGATCGGAACATTTATGTTACGTAATCCAATCAGCAGTACAGTCCATAATAATGCCAGCCAGTATCGAAATTTAGGCCGGCACTATCTAAAAAAGGAAAGATTTTGTTAAAATTTATGCTTTGGACATGCTAACAGTCTAGTAATAGTGTAATACAATATGTTATCTCTCTCTTAATGGAAATGGCTTTTCCCAAGATGTATCCAAAATCATTGGGCGATATACTGATGATGTAAAAAATGCCTCAATGGTCATTAATAGCTACCTTCGAAAAAAAAGAATTTATTGTATTTGATCTCACTAGGCCAGAAGATGATCCTCTTGCAATCTGTCTAAGGTTTGACACTCTACTAAACCTGCAGAAAGAGATAGAGGTGAGGCAGAAGCGCAAGGAAAAAAGCACCTCAGCTAATGAGTAGAATCTGACTTAATAGATACCAGCTTTTTTTTTTCGCAATTATAAAAAATTGGAATGGGAGAGCGCCAAGTCGAAAGACCGGTTATTTATATCGATCCTCAAAAAGCGCGAGAGCTAGACCAAATTATAGCAAAACAAAAGCCTACGATTTTTATTGATTCTCAGAAAGCTCATGATCTAGACTGGCATCTTGCTTTACAGAGACTATATTATCGTCCTGAGGGTCTTTATCAAAATGTTAAGGGATTGTGGGATGCTTGTAAAAAGGCCAGATACAGCTTTCTATTTATTGATATAAAAAAATGGCTTGAAGGCCAAGCAATGTATCAAATTTTTCGTCCTTCACCAAAGCATATACCTTATGCCAGTTATTCTAAAATCACAAAACTGAATTCTGTACACCAGTGTGATTTGATCGAAATACCATATGATGATGTGAATATAGATTTATTAGATGATGGTCCAATCTTTTACTATGTATTGTTGGTTATAGATTGCGCGACTAGATATAAAGATTTCGTTTTTTTAACATCAAAAAGTAGTGCAGAAGTCGCAGAAGCTTTTAAGAGTATATATGATAATCCTGACAATTCCCTTAACTGGCCTCGAAAACTACAATGCGATAAGGGCACTGAGTTTATGGGATACGTGACTTTATTAATGGATGAGCATGGCGTTAAAATCTGAAGAATTATAGCACGTTTCAGACATACAAGCTTGGCTATGGTCGATCGTTATGCTGGATTATTCGAATATAGAGTTTTTAAAAATCAGTATTCAGTAGAGTTTCTCTTACCTACCGGCGAACGTTGCAGGGAATGTGAACGATTTGCGAGAAGAATTGTTGATAACATAAATGATAGCCCAACTTGATTAATTAGAATGAGACCTAATGACGTTATGAAACTTGAGCGGGTATATTCTAAACCATCAGTAAAATATAATCGCCCAATAGGCATTGATGAACCTCAACTACCAAAGGGTACTACTGTCCGATTCTTACTTACTAAAGGAGAATGGAAAAATGATCCTTTCGAACGACGCAGGATAACAGATTCGATATGGTCTCCTAGCCTGCATAAGATTCAGAGAATTGTTGTTGGAAAGAATCCTCTAATGCCTATTTTATATTACTTAGATGAATCGGAACCTCAATAACCTTTCGTGAGAGAACAATTGATGCACATTGAGGAAGAGCCTATGCTACCTTCTAGGTAGATATTGAAAGGTAACCAAATGCATGCAAGGCGCTTTTTATAAAAGTTTTTAAATCAACAACGCAATAGGATATTGTGATAAGAATTACTCCTTTCTTATAACAGAGCGCCTTTTTTTGCCAATCACATCAGATTTGTGCATCTAGGTTCATCTGTCCTTGTAGGTGAAAAAAGGTATGATTTGATAATGTTGGTTGCCACTATATTCGAATGCCAAGTCTAGCTCTTCATTATATCCATCTAGATGTAATCCCTCCAAGAACTTAGGTTTTCAGAGGGGAAATTTTTT